TAGTTTCCCCCTGGAACCACTTGATTTCCAAGTGTATCAACGCTTCGGCCTACCTAATTTCTGCTTTCTTAATTGCGGTTTCTGTTTCATTTGTGTTGTAATTCCTCTAATTTTCTGAACACCCACCCCACCTCTCTTTCTCTCTCTTGTCTCTTAATTTGTTTACAAATTCAAACAAATATTTTTTATTTGCGTTCTATCGCCCCAGACAAAGCCTGGGAATCCGCTTTTGGCTTTGAAATTCCAAACAATTTACGCACATTTTAATCGAAATTTATACACATACGAGTATTTATTTCGCTTTGGTTTTATATGCACATACATACATACACACATATGTATGTACGAATATGTTTGTATATTTCATTCTATTCCATTCGATTTTTTTATGCTTTGCATTTTTGTCACGCAGCGAATCAGCGCAAAAATGCAGATGTGGCTCAGAGGGGAAGAATTTTACAAACACAAAAATATGTACATATCTATGTACATACATATGCCTATGTATTTGTGTATGTGTTTGCATCTGACTTTTTGAACTCAATTCATGTGAAAATAAGCGGATTTATGTTCGCACAATATTTTATTTCGTTTCTCCTTAAAGCTTAAATTTTGTTTGAAATTTTTTCTTTTGGAAATATTTATTCAACTAAATATTAATAAATAATATTCGGTTGGCAGCAAATCGAAACAGGCAATCAGACAGTGATGATAATTATACGAACATAAAAAATTAGCAAATATTCCAAATATGTTTTTTTCGTAGAGCAAAAAACTTAATTTACGTCTGACTGCAGGGCAAATGAATTTAATCTAAAATTGAAGTGAAGAAGATAAAATAGTTTTAGTTTTGGAAATGTTAGAAATAACCTGCAGAGAACATGCATTTGAAATGTGAATTCCCATACAGTTGATACAAAAAAAAAAAAAAAAGAGAAGTGGCTGCACCACAGTTTAAACATGAGAAAAATCTGTGAAGAGGAGAGAGAGAGAAAATTCATGCTTTGCTGCTAAGCTACACTGTGGGAGAGAGGCAGCAAATTGGTGGATTTATTCTGCATATAATATTGAATCGATCATAGTCATAATATTCTACAGTGTGTACCCTTCACTCCTTGAGATTAAAATTACCATAATTTACCAATGCAATTTCCAACATTAATTTATATATTTCTTCTCTTTCTTTCAGGTAAGCACGCGAATACTACACTCATTGGGAAATCAAGTAAAATCTAGCCCCAATTCATTTACTTTAATAACCACAATGCCCACCACCATTTAAGTAGAGCTCACAAATGCCATTTTAATGCGCTATACGGAATCTTTCTTGGGGAATCTTTTGCGTTATTTACTTAAGCGCTTTATAATGCCGTACCTTATGTACATTTACTACGCCTTAATGCCGAAAATTAAAATGCTGTGCAGTATGCCGCATGCCCATCTGATGTTTGATGCCATTGCCATGGCCTCTTAATGAACGGACGGGCGGAAAGAGCTCCTACAAAATCGTCTGGAGTCTAATTTTAGCCGCCTTTGGCCTCAGGAATGGGAATGGGAATGGGGTTGGGGCCCTCACTCCCATAGGCATATCGACAACACTCAGACTGTAGCCGTTCAGTTAAAATACGCAGCATGGGGTGCCTTGCCTGCCGCTACTTCAGTAGGAAAGCAGCAGGAAAAACAAACAGAACGCGCACACAAAGAGGAGCAATACAGAGGCAGAGAAAGAAAAGTTTATTGAAGAGGAAGAAGAGATGTGGCTGCTGCTGTTGCTGCTGCTGCTGCTGCAGGCTGCCCTTAAGATGGAAGATGGACGTGAAACACTCCATACACAATTACGACAAATCCACAGCTCTCTATGCTGTGTACTCCGTGTACCGTCCGGGTGATAATGCGAACGAACCCCAGAGACAGAGGCAAACAGAGGGGGACTAAAAATAGAGACAGGCAGCACAAGGATATTGTAGCAAATGGCAGCAGCAGTGGCAAGAAGATGGCAAAAAAAAAAAAAAGCAAAAAGAGGAGAGGGCAGGGGAAAAAGAAAAACGAAGGAAAATCTCTACAGTTGTGCTGCTGCTGCTGCTGCTGATGCCATGTGTTGCATTTCAAAGTGTGTGACTTATGGGGCAGCCAGGCAGGCAGGCAGGCAGCCAGGCAAAGGGAGCAATGGAAAACCGCCGGAGGAGAAGAAAACACGGGGCCAGATGAGACGACAAATTACACGGGATGTCAGAATGAAGCCGTAACTGTACTCTGCATTCGCTACATCGGACCATGCACCCAGCACCTGCAGCTGCAGCTGCACATCAAATCAATCACAAATTCCATCCTTACACTAATTGAAGTCTATGGCATATCCGATCGATCGATGATTCCCATGCCCGAAATGTGGAGCCTGATTACGTGAGATGGAGCACAGGACGTCTCTCGTATGCAAATGGAATATTGTGTAATTAATATGAAGATTGGAAGTCAAGTCAGCTTGTGTGGTGGGGGGGACACTGGGGCAGGGTATGGGATAGAATATGGCCCCTGCATGCACTTGCATGTGCTGCAAATATTCGCTCATAAATACCCAAAATATTTGCCATTGCATAAATTACCGGAATATGAGGGCTAAAAGCCAAAGGGCACAAGTTAAAACACCCCAAGAATGTGCCTCAGAACTTAAATCAAAGGCCCGAATATGCATTACATTTTTAATTGCTTTCAAGGGGTGGGCTGAGCTGATAGTTCGTTGGTGGGGGGATGTTTTTAGTTTGAGAAGCTCCAGCTCTAGCTCCACATTCCCCCTGCAAACATATTGCATTCCAATCATATTGTGGGAGCAAAACAGCTGAAGCATGAGAAGCGCTTAATCATTTTTTAATTAAGTAAAAGTATTTTCAATATATTTTGAATAGCTTACCCCCCGAAGGAAACTTGATGGAAAATGGTTTAAACTTTAACTTTTGATTTGATCAGACAATTTGCGGCATTCTACAGAGGAATATATTAATGTTTATTAAGCAGCAGTTATATTTTTAAATCCTCTGTTTAAATTCTGTTGGAAATTTGATCTTCCAGAATTGAAGCGTCGCCCGCCCATCTCCTTCCACTGGATTTTCCACTCAATATCTCCATAGCTGCATCATTCCATCTCCATAGTTTCCACCTAAAAATATTCCCATCAGCAAATAAATTTCAGCATCTAGGCCCAAGCTAAAAAGCCATTTTCCCCAATAACATTTTTGGCATGCTAAAAATCTCTGCGAAAATCCTCTCCGAATCCCCTGCAGGACATTTATCAACCATGAGAACTGCTACTGGCAGTAGCTTATTATTCCCAGGACCACATTTCAATGGGAAAATTTTAATTAAGGCTGCGCTCTCGGATGGGCAGGGAGGGGGGGAGGACGGAGGGAGCATGGTTGGATGGTTGCACGAACCAGAGGAGTCGCCACTAAATCTCAAATGTCAATGAGTTGTGGTCACAAAATGTTTGGCTGCCGCTGGAACCATTTGTTATGGCAACGGGTGGGTGGGTGGTGTTTGGTTTTGGATGTGGCACTGTGGCACTGCCACTGCCAGAGGCAGGTGTCGTCCCCAAAAGAAATCCAAAACCAGTGCAAAGTTCCCCCCACCGGTTCGTCCTGTTTCCTGGTGTAAAAATGATAAATTATACGTACAATTTTGCAAACTCCTGAAAATTACGCATTAAATCATGCAGAAAAAAGATGGAGAAAAAAATACCAGGAAGGGTTCACCAATGGGTTAAGCAAATGCAAAGTCATTGTATAGTTTATGACTGAGATTGCACTCCCTCCCCAGCAGAGAAGCGACCGGGGTTAAGGACTCTCCTCTCCTCTGGTTTTATCGCTTCGCATGAGCTGCAATTTTTATTACAATTTTTATACTATATTTTCTGAAAATTTTTCATTTCTTTTATTTCGAAAAAAAAAATGTAATGTTTTGTTGTTTGTTGGTCACGTCTGCGCCCCACCCGCCCCCACCCCGTTTTCTTTTGTGATTGTTTTGGATCGTAAATTCAGGGGCAGAACCAACTGCAGGTTGCACAAGGTAGCAGCCAGTCCCAAAACGAACGAACGAACGAACGAACGGATAGATACTCAGATACATTCGTTCCAGCATACAATTTCTGAATGGCCCACCCACCCACTTGTGTGGCTTTTCATTATTATTACTAGGAGGGGAGGCTAGGAGGCTTGAGAGGGTTTAGCTTTTCTTTTTGGCTTTGGCACATCTTTCATGGCTATGATTTAGTTCATTGTTCAGGGCTGTTGGCCAACACAAACAACAATAACTGAGGCAGAACAAGTGCCCAGTTTTTGGCAACGCCTTCTCCTCCTACTCTCCACCTGCCACATCATCATCATCATCATGATCATCTTTTGAATGTTTGTTTGGGGCCCCGGACTTTGGGTCAAATAAACCTCTCCCCCGCCCTTATATAGTAGTTGAGACATGAACCTAATTTACTGCCCGACTGACTTTCATGGCTAGAAAATTTCCAAATATCTTTATTTAGTTGCCGCTTTGGTTTTTCTTGGAAAACTCACTCAACTCTACTCTACTAACTCCACTAAGCGCACGAAATATTTCAACAAAAGTATGGGTACATTTATGCAACGTTTTTCAAGGTTTTCGAAAGCGCAGATACTCTCTCCAGGACCAACGAATGCTCTTTACCCAAAGCGAAGCTGAAAATCTCTACGTTTTTATGGCTTACTTCATTAATTGTTTTCAGGTCTCTCCAGGGACAATTTTGTACGTTTAATTGCCGCAAAATAGAGCCCCCTGTTATTAATCAATGATTGGGCCTGTTGCCACAGCCACTGCAGCTTGCACTTGATGCAGCCAGGAAAGGATACTTGAGCATTGTACGAGCCCACTTGATATGCTGTTGTGTAACAGAGACACATGGGCCCAAAGGGGAGAGCACAGGGCTGTGTCACAGGTAGCAAGGTGGCACTCTCGGTGGCAGGCAGTTAGACAGACAGTTAGATAGACACGCTCTTAGTTTTTAATGAAAGGCAAAAGGACGACAGCAATGGACCATTCCCCACCAATTACGCTGTCATTGCGTTGGCCATTACGAGACAACAGCCAGTCCGTAGTCAGGATAATTGCCAGGACATAGTCACTCAAAAAGGTTTCTTCCGCAAAATCACCTCCAATATATGGGGACAAAACGCTCTTCTCTCGGACTCATGGCATCTTTCGATTGCTGAAAACTCAGCGAATGCTTTTCCACCGTCGGATCGTAGCAGATATTGTGACGCCAGAAGGCCGAAGTAAAGTCCATGTCCACCGAGTTAATGGGGGCCATCATGCAGACCAATATCACACGATCGAGGCCGCGTTTCGAGAGATCAGCCCCCTTGCTGAGGGCGATGCGGCATTCGGTTTGTTCGTTCGGTAACAGCACGCCCCAACGGGGTCGCAATTTGAACTTGCCCCAGACGGTACTTTGGAGCTGCAAAGTAAAATGGATGCCAATTATTCTACGAGAAGAGAAATACTCGTAATAGAAGGAGGTTTTGGTTTTTTACCTTATACAACACTGGAACTTTGGATATATTATTCACGGATATGTTTGTCGTATTGTTGTTTTCCTTGGAGAAGGTCAAAGGTCCCAAAGGTGTGACTCTCAATAATTTTGCGTTCATTTCGAAAAATGCATTACCCAAACAAAACGATCCTAAATATTTAATTAAAACAACGGCTACTTCTTTAAAATTGAATTTAGTGAATATTTTAAAAGGTTTTTTTTTTAGTACAAACTCTGAAACTACCAATTTTGAAATTAAAATGTGAGACTTCTGATCATTTTTGAGACATTTCGGGTGATTTTCCACAGGCCTTCTTGGATGGGCAACCGTAGGGATGATCAGAAAAATGTAGTGACTAAAGAGGATCTTGAGAGCTTTCCCAAAAGCTGCATACAATCCCCAATGCTGAGTATCTCCACAAGGAAAATCTCTTTCTGATGCCTTGACTCCCCTTGGGAAACTTCGAAGTTGACATCATATACTCATTTGTACACATACTCGTATATGTATGTTAAGCTCTATTAAGCAAAATTACACCTTAGCCACCGCATTGCGGACGCTTCTTTACCAGCAATTGACCCCAAAGTTGGGTGTGTGAGTCGGTGTGTGTGTGTTTGCTGTGCAGCAGCAGCAGCAGCAGTGGTGGCAAAGGTACCGACTACTATGAGTATTAATTACATTCACAAGCATTTCAACGGTCCGACTGCCGCTCAAGCAAATCGCAAAAGCCGGTTGGCCCAAACGGCCCAACATTTACAAGCCAACAATTTGCTTTCTAAACAACAAAAGTTCCCACACACAAGCACAAACACAGGCACAAACACAGGCAACACACACACATCGACGCACTCTCCCTCTCACATTACAGAGGGTTCCAGGGAGGACAACAATCCTTGGGCCAGTCGAGCCAGTCGAGCATTTGGAGCTTAGCTGGCGCTTAGGCTAAATGACCAGCACAGCAGGTGGTGGTGGCGGGGCATTCGGTTCTGAGTGGTTGGCAGTAGCTACAACACACAACAACAACAACAACAACAGGAAAGCTGTAAAATTAATTGATTTACAAGTGTGAAAATGCTCAGAAAGAGGTAGAAAGAGTGTTAAAGCGGAGGGTAAAGAGGGAGAGAGAGCCATAACAATAACGTTACACGAAATGAAAATTAGAAACAAAGAATAAGAGAGTGAAAATTGCGACTATGGGATATCCGCTACTACTATAGGTGGTAACTTACTACATATATTTACAAAAAAAAAAAAAAAGAATTAAGAGAAATTAGATTCCTTTGGACATTTTCATTGGCAGAACAACAGAACTACCCAAAGACACATTACATTTTTCATGATTTTTAGCTGCAAATATAAATAAATATAAAATAAACGTATATAATAAAATATAATAAAACATATATAAAATACATAAATATAAAATTTTGAACTTCAAATTAAATCTATTAAAATAGAGCGAAAATTATGTCTATATATAATGACACTTAATTAGGGCTTCATATATATTTATGTATAAAATTGTGACCAGAGCAACATGTGCAAGCGGCATGTCATACACTTCAACCGAATATACCCCATTCTCTCTCTACCAGTAGAGTAGAGGGTAGGCAGTACATGGGGAAAGACATAATGGAGGAATGTGCGCATTTAGTTCTAGATTACGAGTAGTATTTCTGTGTATGCCGCCATAGAGAGTGTAAACTACAATCCGCTTAACGGTAATTGCTGCTCAGACCCCTCATGTCCAACGCCCCATAGCGACACTACACCCCCTACCCGTAGACTCCCCTCTGGGCCCCGTAGACCTGTTTTTGTCGCGTGCTCTTTAAAGCTGAACATTAATGGCCATTGCCACGCCCACTTCCTACACCTGCTACATCCATAAATTGCGTGTAATTTTGGATTTCTTTTTGAAATGTTCATAAAGCTCATTTATATTTCATAAAGTCCCCCCTCCCCACGCTCCGCCCACACTCGATGTAGGGAACGACACGACGCAAAGACGGAACGACAGGAAGTGAGCTTTTGTTTTTCAGCCGTTAGTTCCTTCCGTTTCGGCATAGCCCCCCCATCCCGGCGCCCGTCTTTGTGTTTATTTGTTCCGTTCTGTTGGGTAGGATTTTCTTTGTTTGTTTTTGTGTAGGATTTAAGGAGGCAATTTAATAACCCGTCTTGGGGCGCCTTTGCGTGTTTAGGCTACGGCCATAAGCGAATTTGCCCCCACCCAAAGGTGTGTGCGTGGCGTGGCGTGGCGTGGCGGCTGCTCTGACTTGATTTATTGAGTGACTCGTGGGCGTGGCCAGGACAAATATTGTTACTTTGATTGCATTTAATGTCCGGGGCACAAATCAATCAAAAGGGCAGTCTCCATTTCGCTGTTGCAATCACCCGATATACGTATGTATGTACGTACGAGTCCCCCGCTTCGTTTATTTGTTGTCTTCTCCAATCCGCTGCTCAATTGATGTCTCGCTTTCACGATGCTTTTTACTTTTTTTTTTCCTTCGGGGTTGGGGCGGAGACAAGTGAACTCCCCGTCGTTGAACGATTACTTCTTGTTCTCTCCGTTTCTCTCAACCTTTTCGCAGTATTGCTTTCGGATTGCTATGTGTGTGTGTGTGTGGGTGACTGTAATGCGATATTTTTGGCTTGATTGCGTTCACTGCAGCAGCAGTGCCAAATCGTTTGGGGCAATTTGGTGATTTAAAGTTTTTGTACTTCATCATTCCGTAATCGATGTCTTTGATTGCCCCCCTCCAAACCCCAAGCGGAATTGCAGCTGCTCGATAATCTCCTGTCCAATTAAAAGGAAAAACTTTGAAAAACTAGCAAAATGCTTGCTTACATCGTGCCATACATCAAGCCAGAAACATGATGATATTTTTAAACCTGTAAAAAGGTGGAGGTGAAGGTGGATCTTTCCGTTTGCCCCTTGCTAGTTTTTTTTTCTATCTGTGTGGAGTCTGCCCCACTCGCCTCTTGCCACTGTCTCGCATCATTTCAAATGAGATTCACTTTCGTCAGCCCTTTCAGGCCATCATCCTCGGCCATCGTGTCTCTTGGACACGCTTTCGTGCTGCTTGTTAGCCCATGAAAAGAAGCCACATTAAAACAAATAAAAAATAGAAATAAAAGTAAATTTTGTGTACCCCCCCACCTCCCCACATCCACCATCTGTGTTTTTGATGTTGCGCCAATTGACAGGGCCTTTAATTTCTTTGGTTTTTCTTACCAGTCCCCCGCCATCCCACTACTATTCAAACCCCCACTCTTTTGATTTCATTTTATTTCTGGAATTTTTTTCTTTGTATTTTCTTTGGTCTTGTCAACGCATCTTTTGGCTGCTGCCATAATTCAAGTCTCCGCCCGCCTGTCGGGTGGCACGCCGTTTGCATAGCCAAACATTTGCTCTTAAATACAAATTTATTTCGTATTTGCACGAGTTTTTTATTTTTATTTTGTTGTATATTTGTTTGTTGTTTTTTCGAGTCACATTTTGCCTTGTTTTATTGACAAGTTGAAGCAGGAATGGAACGTGAAGATTTCTGTACATACCCTTTGCAGAAGTGGCGTATAATGATTTTGTGGAGAGGTTCGACTCACCTACAAGTATGTGGCCCTTCTTTTGTCTGTCCAGAGCATATCGCAAGCTAGCAGTTACGTGTGGTTCTCCATCGGTTCTTTCTGATAACCGAATGACCATGTACTTTACATAACTATGTATGAATGTGCATTAATACATACTCATGTATGCGTATACATACATATGTCAAGCTAGCCTGCATGGGCTGGCTGCCCTTCTTGCCTTTCGTCTGTTTAATTCCTTGGGCGCCGTGCAGTCGCAATTGTCTTATCGCTTGATCTTCATTTCATTCTATGAGAGATCTTCGCTACTCTCACTCAATGCCCGCTCTTGCCATTGATTGCTCTCTCAGCAACATCAACAACAATTAATGCCACAGACTTGGCTGAGATGAGTTTCGCTCTTAGAAAATATAGAACGGAACGGGACTCTCGCTTTGCTACGTAGGTTTTGTTTTTATTTTGATCCTCTCTTCTTGTTGCTATACTACATACATATTTACTACATATTTATAGTTTTTTCTTTTAGGTGTACCTGGCAAGGGTATCCCAAAGCTTTTAGAGCCTCGTAGTTGGATTTATTTGTTGTACTATTTTTTTGTGCGTTGCGCTAAGTTTTGTGTGCTTTGGATATTTGTCTTCATTTATTTATATTGATTTTTCTGCTGCTTCTACTGTTGGTGATTTAGTGGCTCCATAGCTCCGCTCTATGGGCGGTACGGGAGATGCTGCTGCCGGTGGTCAATGGCCAATTTCGGTTTCATTTGCTAAGCCAGTGAATAATCACAATGCATTTATCTATCGCCTCACCCAGAACGACCTTTCCCGTACACTTTCACGCGGCAGCAGCAGCAGTAGCAGCAGCAGTGGATTTTCAATTATTTAATTTTCCGCTCACGTTTTGTTAGTTTTTCACGTAGTTTTCCATTGGCTCTACCAGCTAAATGCGACAAAAAGTAAAAAATCAAAAAAGGCAGTGGGAAAATGAAATGGTGTGCGATAAAAATCGGCAAAGAAAAGAAAAGGAAAACCCAAAGTGCATCTTCAACGACGATGAAATTCTCACGTTTCCATTGGCATTAAGGTTTCCACAGATCGCCTCCTGCTCACAAAAAAAATGGGAGAGGCAATGGTATAGGGGAACTATGTGTAGGTGCCCCTTCGGTTTTGGGGCATGCGTCATTTGGCAGCGCCGCCAGGCAATTGATGACAGACACAGACCCCAGCCAAAAGCTCTGGAGTTCGACTCTTTGGTTGGTGTGTTGGGTACGGCAGCATAAATTCCACTTAAATGGCAAACCAGTCCGCCAGCAACAGTCCACCACCTACTCCTCTCCATATCATCATCATCATCATCATCATCATCAAAGTGCATCTTCAGCTTAAGGTTCGACTTGAGAGTCAGCCTCAGCCATTAACAACTATAGAAACTGCAATGTGGGCATCACACAGACCCAGTGACACACTGAAGTGCGAATACAGCCAAGAAACTATTTGTATACCCTTGCAAAAAGTCCAAGTCTCGGTTTACCGAGCAAAGAAGGAAGCATTCAGCCTTGAGTTGTGGATTATCCCAGATTTTAGTGTAAGTTTCCGACTGCCTCGTCTTTTTAGAAGACATTTTTACTAGAAGATTGCTTAAGGTCTTCCTTTTTGGTT